GTTAGCTGGGGCTAGCAACACGCTGGCTAGCCTGCCGGTGACGTAGTAGGCCTGTTTTAAAATGTCAGATTTTACTTTAGTTTACCCTACTCGGAAACATAACATGTATATATAATGACTTGCATGCTTATATTGAATAATTGTTTGCATTGGAAAACAAGTGGACTCTCCAGTTTGTTATGTTATTAGAATGACCTTTGTGAGATGACATGAGGCGCTGCTAGGTTAGCAAATTAGCAAGGTTACGCGGTCCTCTGCAAAGAAAGACGCAGTTAGTTTGACATAAACGATTAAAGAGGGCAAATTTGAGCTCTACACTTGTTAGAATATGTCCCGGTAAGTTTAGGAGCTGCAGAAAGTGTAAACTAGAGTACACGTCATTCATTTGTCATTCAAAACACAGCTTCCGACGGGGCGGTGTAGTATTTTTATGTTTTCTCCACATGCAAGGTCATGTTCAGTTTGTTTTAAACCTGCAGAAAATGTTGATAAAGAATAATTAGTGTAATGAGGTTGTTCCTATGTGTGAATAGCAGTGTTATTCTCGTATGGCTCAATTTTGTATCCATCCGCAGGCAGGGACTATGTCGCTCCTGCTGCCGCCGCCAGCGTCGCCACAGGCCGCATTGTGGCCGTCATCGGTGCCGTCGTCGACGTCCAGTTCGATGAGGCCCTCCCTCCCATTCTCAACGCCCTGGAGGTCACCGGCCGCGACTCTAGGCTAGTCCTGGAGGTTGCTCAGCATCTTGGTGAGCCTTAGAAACCTTCAACTAACAAAACTATTTCATGTTTGTAGAAGCTTGCTGAACATACTTGCTGTTCATAGGTGAGAACACAGTGCGTACCATCGCTATGGATGGTACTGAGGGTCTGATTCGTGGACAGAAGGTTCTGGACACCGGTGCCCCCATCAGAATCCCAGTGGGGCCCGAGACCCTGGGGAGGATTATGAATGTGATTGGCGAGCCCATCGATGAAAGGGGTCCAATCAATACCAAACAGTGCGTCAAAATAAAATATCTATAATCTTCTGACGTTCAATTCCTACCTAAGAATTAAATTTAATTGTTTAACTCTTTCTCCCTTAGGACTGCACCTATCCATGCTGAGGCTCCTGAATTCACTGACATGAGCGTGGAGCAGGAGATTCTGGTGACTGGCATTAAGGTGGTGGACCTGCTGGCCCCTTATGCCAAGGGAGGGAAAATTGGTATGTATTAGCATTAAAGGAGTAGTTCAGTTTTTGAAGGGGGTGAGGGTAATTTAAAAAACTTAAGACATTTTCCGTTTTGACGTACTGATTCCAGTTTTTCTTAAATATCTATAAATGACAACAAATGCAATTTTCAGGGTCAGTGGAGCTAGTTCACCTTTCTTTCCAAAAAACGTTTTATGCAAAAAAAAAACAAAAAACTTTTTCCTAAAATGGGCCATTATTTTTTGGAAGGTGACCAATATTACTGTTGTGTTTTGGGGCCTGCCACAATTTTTAAACTGTCCCTAATAAGCAATAATGTCATTTTGAGACCATTTTAAAGCAATATGTTAACATTGGAACTGGAGGATGTTTTTAAATAATCAAGGACTAAACAATAAATAGAATGGAAACAATAACCATTAACCTTTGTTACATTTAGAATAGGCTTTTCATTCATATTCCAACAGCCACTTTTTAATCAATAGAAAATGTTTTCGCCGTTCCCAGATGAAAATCGTTGTCTTTCAGTGGAAAAATCCTCTGTAGCAACGCAGTGATATTGCTTGTGGCTTCAGGGCTGTTCGGTGGCGCCGGAGTAGGAAAGACCGTGTTGATCATGGAGCTGATCAACAATGTGGCCAAGGCCCATGGTGGTTACTCCGTGTTCGCCGGCGTGGGTGAGCGGACCCGCGAGGGAAACGACTTGTATCATGAGATGATCGAGTCTGGTGTCATCAACCTGAAGGACACCACCTCTAAGGTGGGGCTCGAACTCCTCCTCAAAGAAGTAATGCATCCACTGTGCAGTAATGGGACGGGCTGGTTAAAGTCTGTTTTTCCCCTGTAGGTGGCGCTGGTGTACGGACAGATGAACGAGCCCCCAGGCGCCCGCGCCAGAGTGGCGTTGACTGGACTGACTGTGGCTGAGTACTTCCGTGACCAGGAGGGTCAGGACGTGCTCCTCTTCATCGACAACATCTTCCGCTTCACACAGGCCGGTTCTGAGGTGCGTACCAGTAACATGGCTAAGGAATCTTCTCCAACAGGAAGGCTTTTGCTAAAAGAATCACCTACCGCCTCCTCAGGTGTCTGCCCTGCTGGGTCGTATCCCCTCCGCTGTGGGTTACCAGCCCACTCTGGCCACTGACATGGGTACCATGCAGGAGAGAATCACCACCACTAAGAAGGGTTCGATCACATCTGTGCAGGTAAATATTTAGGAAAACACGATCTCAACTCTGCTTGATAAAATTGTTTTTGCTGCACAAAATGAACCAACATCTACCTTTCTGTGGGAACAATAATGTGATCAAATTAACTTGAAGCTAAACTTCGTTTCCTCTGCAGGCCATCTACGTGCCAGCTGATGACTTGACTGACCCTGCTCCCGCCACCACCTTCGCTCACTTGGACGCCACCACTGTACTGTCCCGTGCCATCGCCGAGTTGGGCATCTACCCCGCCGTGGATCCCCTGGACTCCACCTCCCGTATCATGGACCCCAACATCGTCGGAGCTGAGCATTACGACGTCGCCCGTGGCGTGCAGAAGATCCTTCAGGTTGGGGAAACTGCATTGTTTTTGTCGTTACGAAGACCTGTTTTCTAGTCAACAAGCTAACTGGTTAGCCTTCTTACAGGACTACAAGTCCCTTCAGGACATCATTGCCATCCTGGGTATGGATGAGTTGTCTGAGGAGGACAAACTGACTGTGGCCCGTGCCCGCAAGATCCAGCGTTTCCTGTCTCAGCCCTTCCAGGTGGCTGAGGTCTTCACAGGCCACTTGGGAAAACTGGTGCCCCTTAAAGAAACCATCAAGGGCTTCAAGAGCATCCTTGGAGGCAAGTATTGTTAAAAAGCACATCTACATTTAAGCTGAAACGCACACTTCATAACTTCATGCTTTTTGTTGTTCCAGGCGAATATGATAACCTGCCTGAGCAGGCCTTCTACATGGTCGGTCCCATTGAGGAAGTGGTCCAGAAAGCTGAGAAGCTGGCTGAGGAGCACTCATAAACACCTGAACATTCTGATCAGAGAGGGGGAGGGTCCTATGGTTAGGAGCACTTGGTTTGTAAAACATGTCAAAAATACAAATGTACCTGTCTTGTCGCCCTGAAGAAAGTTCTATTTAATGTTTCCAGTGAAAGGTGGAATAAATCACTGTCTTTACACAAACAGACTTGTCAACTGCATATTTCATAAGCTTTAGCTGTAATAGAGGCCTGTTCCTTGAGAAATCTTATGAAATGATTGTCCTCTACTGTGACCACAAGATGGCATACTTGAGCTGTAAAACTTTGAGTTGTGTTGCAGATTGTTACGTTTGGAAATAAAACGGACAAATAATTGGAACCTTTTTTTGTCACTTCATGTGGTGAGGTAATGTGCTTTAAAGTAGTTGCGTTTAGGGAAGAAAATGGAAAATTTAAGTTATTTTAAAAAATTTAAGTCAAATTTTGCAAGGCACTGAAGTTGTATGGACGACACCCGAGTAGCTTAATCTAACTTTTTAGGGCTTGGTGGAAAGGGTTAACAATATTTCAGCATGAGACATAAAACCTATACAGATTAGAGCACATCTTGGACATTTGACTAGTGAAAAATTACCTTACCAAGCTGACTGCAGTTGTCTTAAAGCATTTGATAATTGGACAATAGCAAGAATCTTAAAAAAAAAAAAAAAAAGTGATTGTTTCTGCCATTTATGATGAGCTGAAAAGAAATCTGAAGTCATTCCCAAACAACTCGTGCATAATTCTGTATGATTAAGCTGAAACCTGTGAATGTCCCAGAAAACTCAGACCGGGCAATTTCTTAGGCTCTACAGGCTGCAGCCAGCTTGTTGAATGTTAGATCTTTCTGTAATTTTAAGGCCATAAACCAGGGGTGTTTGAACTCCAGTCCCCAAGGACCACTGTCCTGCAGTTTCTAGATGTGCCACAGGTACAAAACACTGGAATGAAATGGCTTAATTACCTCCTTGTGTAGAGAAGTTCTCCAGAGTCCTGCTAATAACCTAATTATTCTATTCAGGTGTGGTGCAGCAGAGGCACATCTAAAAGTTGCAGGATACCTGCCCTGGAGGACTGCAGTTTGACACCTGTGGCAAAAAGTAACAACCGTTGAACATGTTTGAAAGAAAAAAAAAAAGAAATTGCAGCAAACATAGGTTTGCAAACTTGTATTTGAAAACTACTTCCAAACAAATGTTTTGCCATAAAGGAAAATGCAACATAAAAAAATATCCATACCAACTGGAGGGGTGGTGATTGGGGCTTATTTTGAGTCAACCACTGGATTATCTAACGTCTAAAGCAGTGTTTCTCAACCTTGGTCCTCGCCCCCCTGTCCTGCATGTTTTAGGTATTTCCCTTCTGCCACACACCTTAATTGTATCTCTGGGTGATTAACAGGCTTCTGCAGTACTTGATGGTCATGCAATCATTTGAATCAGCTGTTCTGGAATAGAGGCACATCGAAAACATGCAGATCAGGGGGGCGGTGAGGACCAGGGTTGAGAAACACTGATCTAAAGGTCTGTGTGCACAGACTAGCCTAATTTTGTAACCAAATTGAAAGCAGGTTGGGCTTTTTATTGTTTTTCCTTAACCTTTAACACCTGACTATCTTCAATGCGGAGATTTTACTTTAAGCAGCAGATAAGGTGGCCTTGACCGTAACCTTGAGAGAGCAGCTCAACCTTGTCATGGTGAACAATTCAAGACTGAAACCGACTGCTAATATTGAAACGTGCATTGTCAGCTAAGATGTACAGAGTGGTAATGGAAGTGGATGAATAGATGGAGGGTTACTGTAACTTCTTGGCAATGGGAATGGCATTCTTCAGGAAGAAGTAATCAACAAAACAGGTTGGCATGTATGACATTGGCAGCCAGAAAAACTTGGCGTCCCAGCCGGGGGAATAACGTTTGCGCGGCCAGGTGGCGGACACGGCGTGCTCCATGCAGCTGACCACCTTCATCAGATCGCCGTCACTCATCTGGGAGACTTTTTCTTTTATCACGTCTTTGGCTGGAACAAAAGATGAGTCCGTTGAAGCAAATGAAAGACGACAAGTGACAGGAATGAAATGTTTACGCTTACATTTTTGGAGGTATTCAACCCCATAGTCATCTCTGACGTCCTGCGGCAGTCTGTCCCACAGCGTTTGGACGTTCCTGGTGTGGAGTTCGCTGTCTGTGACGCTGGTCTTGAAGAATCCCGGCTCAATACAGAGGACTTTGACACCAAAAGGAGCCAGGGTGAACCTGAGGAAAATATGCCATCTTTGTCACTAAAAGGCCTGTGTTGGCACAGGAGTACATTTATGGCGCAGGTTAATATTTCACCGGAGGCTGTCGTTGAAAGCCTCGACGCCGAACTTTGAGACAGGGTATGGACCCCCGGTGACACAGATCCTCCCAAACACACTTGCGACATTCACCACTCGGCCTCTGGCCTTCTTTATCAGAGGCAGGACGCTCAGTGTGGCTCCGATCACCCCGTTCAGGTTAACCTCCAGCATTGATTTGTAATCGTCAAGGGTATGCCAGTCGCAGGGGCCGGAGGGAACAGCAACACCCGCGTTGTTTACTAAAGCCCAGAGACCTGCAAGGAACCCAAATACATATACAACCTTGAACAACCTGCTAAATTTCTCAATGAAAATTCTATCTGTCCATCTGCAACCAACTCACCATGCACCCCAACTTTGTCCTTAATCATGGCTGCAACTTTGGCCAAGCTCTCCTTCGACGTAACATCCAGGTGTGTTGTGATCAGGTTGCTGGAGCAGGCCTTCTTTAGCTGCTCCTCTCCCTTCTCAGTGTAACACCCGGCAATCACTCTGAAGCCTATCTTATCCAGATGGCGAGCCAGAAGGTTCCCAAAGCCGGTGTCGCAGCCCGTGATGTACACATACTTGTTGGCCTTGTCACCGACCCTGGGAAGCTCTCTGATCCAGCGGAACAGGTAGAAGAGCACAAGCAGGCCCAGAAGATACAGGAACATGTCTGTAATGTAAAAGAATGTTCTTATTTGCTACTGGAGGGAGGCAAGATCATCTGTAAAGAAGCATCAGGCAAAAATATTCTGGGTAAATACCACAGTCAACCAATCTGACCCTTAAACCAATGTTCATTTCCACCTTGTAATGTCATATGGCATTTGTTTGGTCATGAATGGCGCAGGGAAATAAACATATAAATAGTATTATTAAAAATCAGTCACTGGCTATAAAAGGAGCATTAATATTGGTCCAAATTTACATATTTGGACCAATATTAATGGTCCAAATATGTAAATAAAATGTATTATGTAAATATTATTACATATAATTTACATATTGGTGCAACCCTATTTTTTTCTGCTGATATGGAAAATACAAAGATTTTGCAAAAGGTCACAATCTTCATTAAGTTTGTTTTTTTTTTTTTAACAAAAATATCTAAAATGCAATTCTGGTGCCTTGGCAAGAGTTTGAACAAAGTCTTGTTCCTTAAGACCCCTCCAATGTGATTAAGTTCAAGAATATAAAAGGCCCAGGCTACTTTTGAAATGAGTTCAACAACAAGAACGTCTACAACAAAAACGAGCTGAAACAAAAGAAATCTAGAGAGGGGGCAATACTCAAGTCAGACACAAGTAAATACAGATATTTCCCAACCTTCCAGCAGACACCAACACACAAGATGCATATCTGTTCAGACAGATACAGTGTATGCATCAGTCATTGAGTAGGAATGTTCGTCATGGTGGAATGGTTTGGTTGGGCTCATTTGGGTGGGTTTCTATATCCACATTCAGTGATTGCATTCATTTTTTTTTTATCTTGCCCTTAAAATCTTATGTTTTGTAATAAACTGAACCAGCAATGAAACTAATTTGGTTTCTCAAAGAGCCCTTTAGTAACTGTTTGGTTTTCAACAGAGTCTTTAAAAGCTGTTCAATTTTCCTTTTTGCAGAGTTTGTTTGTGATCTTACACCCATTTGAAGAGAAGAAAAGATTTTTTATTGCAGATGTATTTATTTCTAGATTTTTTTAAATATAAAAACCCAACCTCTCTTCCATAACATTTTATATGGATTATGCAAAGAGATGCATACCTAACAAGTCCTCTTTGCATAAGCTGGCATGTAGATAATTGTAATAGATCTAACCTTTTTTGTGCCGCTTTTTCAGCTACAAAAGCTAATCACAAAAGCAAACTTGCACATCATTTTCTGTAATCACCTTTGAGGTCAAATTTACACCTCCCAGTCTGCTCCAATGGTTGGTTGGTTGTGTGACAAATTCTGTCCTGTAGCTGACTACTTAAGTCTACACTCAGATCTTTATGACCACATTGTCTGCGATCAGCAGCAGGATGATTTTTTTTTTTTTTTAATTATCGATCATAAAATTTGCAACATTGTTAGTCTTCATGACCCTTCAGATTGTGTTACAATATTTCCTTATCAGTTTTATTTATATTTACAAAATCATGGATCACTAACTGTTCCAACAACTTTCAGAATCATATTTGGCCCATAAAATCTGATTAATTTTATTTGTTTCATTTGGCATGAATGTGCTTCCGTACATGGAAGTCCTTCGGAAGATTACGAGCTCACTTCCCACCACACATTCTTCTGTCCTTTTACGAGCTAATAAATGAACACACTGACTGAAAAAGTTACATTTATATCATTTTTTTCTGCTAAGCCCAGTAATTGTGGTCAGAACGTTACATATGGCGTTGCTTTCACTTTTTTTTAACAACATTATGCTAAGGCGAAGAAAAAGTTGTTGCTGAGAGTTTAAAAACCTCCCTGGAAAGCATAACTAAACTTACAGGAGGAAACATTCATGCAACCATATTTCGTAACATGACGAGAGGACCTGCAGGGATCGATAGAGCGCATTCTACTCTGATAAAGAGATTTAAAAATCTGCAGTAAAACAAAGTAAAAAATAGTCGGACATCTCACCTCCTCTCTGTTCTCATCACCTTGACGTTTTATAAATTCTCCCTAATAGATACTGAAAGGCAGAAAAAAGAGTTACCTGCAGCAGAGTAATGTCCGTGGACTGTCTCCTGTTCGAGTGGACCTGATGAGACAAAGTCAGGAATCTAATCAGCAGATATCGAAATAGGAAACAATAGGCGCCCCCTGCTGGCAAGAGAAGGAATTGATTGTCCATATCCAGTTATGTTGGTCATCTTTTGTTCTGTTTTTTATTCATATCTATAGAGCTCCCATTAGTTTTCAGTTCTGATATTTTCATTCTGTACCATGTAGTGTTTTCATTTTTACCCTAGCATAAATGAAAATTTTTTAAATATATATTTTATATATAAATAACCCCAAATAAACTACAGAGCAATAGTTCCCAATGTGAAGTTAGCAGTAGGTGACATCAGCTAACAGTTGTAAAATTAAACATAGCTAAAATGCACAACATTAATAATGATAATAGTTTAAAACATATACAAAACAGAGCTAAATTACTCACAAACCACTGTATATGATTACATTTGTCTAAAGTACATGTCAAAAAATAATACTTGCAAAGAAATCCTTAAATACATACCACAGTGACAGACAGCAACAGAAAAAGAGGGAGGAGCTGCTGGTTGCTATGGTAACTATCAACCGTGTAGAGCATCATAGCTGAACTTAATACACCAATAAATGTCCGAAGAAACAACTTCTTGACTAAACAAAATCAATTTTAAGAATTTATATAAACACAAACTACACATTTGTAATATTGTTAAAATAAAACCCTGTTACATTTGCAAATGTCTAAATTTCCCTCAAGTCTGACTTCAGTTTTCATGGCACAACCTTCAGAAAATCTCCAGGGTAAGTTCCATAAAGGTTTTCTGAATTCTCCAAAGGTTAGCTTCAACAAGGACAGTGTAACCACCAGGGAAATATGAAGGAATATCCTCTAAATTTGTACCAAAAATGGCTGAATATTAACTGCGAATTTGGTGCAACCTTCAAAAAACGTCCAGGGGGAACCGTGCATTAAGGTTCTCCCAAGGTTAGTTTCAGCATTGACTTGCAAACTTATGAGAACTACTAGTGTTATCTATAGTTAGCTACAACTTCAGCTATATTGCTTTCAGAGAGCATCCAATGAATGTTCCTAAATCCATCTATCAATCCATCCATCCTCCATTTCTTTCTTCGTATTTCACAGACATTCATGTCGAGTGCAAGTACTTATACTTTGACAAGTGGTCTAAAATAACTTGAAATTTGGGGTTTGAAATTTGAGAGAGAAAAAAAAATCTTTTAATGGATCACATCCCCATGAGAGTAACTCTGAGCCCAAACTGTATTCAGCCTGAAGATGCCATCAAAATAGTTACACAGCAGGTGGCAAACTGATGAAACCTGCTGAAATCTACAGTAGGAACCTCACCATCATCACTTTTTGGTCTCCATCCAGCAATAACATTCTTTAACTTCCAGTCTGTTTACAGTCTGCTGCTGAACGCCTGTCTGCAGCAGCACTTATGTTTTTCAGACTTCAGAGTGCAAAACTGCGTCTGGAATAAACTGGTGCTGGATTTCCTTAAGTCTCAATGTGACTGATGAAAACCAAGCTAACATTAAGAAAATGCAGAGCTGGTGGAAATAACGATCAAAATGCTTTTATTCAGTTTTGTGTTTATTCCCATAAACCCTTTGAGATTGTTTGTGCTCCCACACCAAACACTAAGAAACGAGGAGTAGCAGCTTTCTGTTTTGACCTTTTAGAGGATTTCATTTAGCTCTTGGGCCTTGATTACAACAAAGGGCTAGAAAAGTCCTATAAAGGTTGCGGCTGTTTATTACTTTCCATCAATGTGCCGGTCATCAAACAGAAGAGTGTTGATCAGAGGGACTATTAAAAGTTTTCATAAGTACCCCTTAAGCCCTTTCACTTTTTAAAATGTTTCAGCGACAAGGTTCAGTGCATTTTTTTTTTTCCATTCGTGATTTTATGTGACAGCCTGCATTTGTTTATGGTTCTCTCATGATGTGTCTTCCTCAAAGACTCAAATACTTGGGCAAGACAAGTGGGAGTTGGAACCCAGATTTATATTGGTAGATATTCTTAATTTTCTTCCAGTTTACAATTTTCCACTACCTTGTGTTGGCCAATCACATAAAATCCGTTCGAGTTTGTTGTCAAATGCAAAGGAGATAAAAGGGTAAGAATATTCCCAAGTTTTGAGAAGAAAAAGTGTTCAAAGACTTTCACAACTCGTTGTTGAGGGTTCTATATTCCACAGTCAGTTTGCTATAAGTCATATTGGAGCTACAGACATTGATTCTTACTTTTGAAACACCATCAATCTGCCTAGAATTGTAAAGATGTTTTCTTTAGTGAGATGCTTCTCACATTTCTACCACCTGGTGGCAGCAGTGTAGTTTCCTGATCGCTGCTTGTATTCGCCTCTGGAGATGGAAAAGGAAAAATCTTATTTACAAAACAAAACAGCAAATATTAATTATTATGCGTTCACATACTTTCAGGCGTGTGACTGATGTTTTTAGTAGAATGTCTTAAATAAATCACCCAAACACAATGAAATGCTGTTGCTAAAACGTTTGTTTGTTTTTTTCTTGCGGTTGCTGCGTTGCTTTCTCATTAAATAAATGTACGGAGCAATATCACATATAAAATATCTGCAGAGTTTTACAGACACAGTGGTCCTTGTCATGCAGGTCCTGGCAACATTTATAGCCCGGGGTGAACGACCGTCTGTTCACTACTACTCACTTGTTTTCATGTGCATACAGGATGATTGTTATAATATTAAACAAAAGAATTACACTAACATTTATTTAAGAAATGAGAATTATGTGTTTGATGACTCGTTTTAATTATCCACCTGCTGAACTTTCCTAATTAATAACATTTATTTCTTTAAAACCAATGTCAGCGAAGCATAAACTTTAGTCTTTTTATTTAGCTAGTTTTGAATGTGCTCACATTTTTGTTTACTTTTGTATGAGAATTTGTTCTTGCAAAGAAAAAAATTCTATGGCAGAGATAAACTAAATTTTTAGTTTGTGTTACTCCATTTCAGGCCCTCTTAGTTTACTTTGAACGTTCACTAGAAACATTCACCAGTTTGTTCTACATAGGTGACCAGGTTGCTAGATGAGGGCAAAAACCGCAAGTGCACTGGCAACCCATAGTGGAGACAACTTTGGAGAGGACAATAACCCTCCTGTGTCCCCTTGACAATTTTTGCCTCTTTTTAAAATATATTTTATATTTGGCTGTGTTGAGGAAAATGCCATAAAATTTGGCAAATTTGACATTATGATTTTGTGGTGAATTTTAACTTTTGTCATTTTGTTTAAATTTTTATATGCCCTTAAACTAACTAGAGTACATTTAAATTTTTATACTCATTACAATTATAAGAATATTTTTGATTCTATTAAATCCTTTCAAAATGTCATATTTTACACATGGTTAAGGCATTATTTTATTTTCCTTGTAGCTAACAATTTTCATAAACGGAATGAAAAAAATAACATGTCCCCTTTTTTCAAATCTTGTATTTAAGGGTTTAAAAGTTGAGAAAATTTCAGATTTTTTTTTTAGTATCACGAGGACTGAAGTTAACAGTAACAGAATCTCTATAAATATGTCTGACGACCTTTAAAAATAGCCAAGAGCAGCTGTGTCAAATGAAACAAGTGAAATATAGAGGAAGGTTTTGTTTTATGCCTCGATAAAATTAATGATTTTTTTTTAAAATTCACATTCAAAAATGACATTTAAACCATTAGCTACATGTAGGTACATCTTGCTGACTTTAGTTAGTCAACCATTAGCGGAATTAACTTAATTGCCTAGAACTGTATCGTCGCCATCTTGAATTGCGGAACACGCAACTGTTCCTCCGAGAGTGAAGACGTCAGTTTTTGGTGCCGCTTCCAGCTGTTATGGCAAAACAAAAACGAATAGTATGCGACCTCTGAACAACATTTCACAGGTGAGAAGTTGATTTTGATATATTCCATAGCTTAGCAGAAATAAATACTTAAAATATATCAATGTGTGTGTGAGGTAGCAACTGATGAGATGCAATTTTAAGAATTACTGAAATTAACTAACTTTATATCATTAATATAATCTATATTCACTTACAATGGATATTTACCCTGTCTGTCACAAGAGGACCCAAATTTGGGTCCTCTCGTGACAGGGGTGTCAAACTCCAGTCCTCAAGGGCCTCTGTCCTGCAACTTTTAGATGTGCCTCTGCTGCACCACACCTGAAAAGAATAATTGGGTCATTAGCAAGGCTCAGGAGAACCGATCTACACAGGGAGGAGGTAATTAAGCCATTTCATTCCACTGTTTTTTACCTGTGGCACATCTGAACTCTGCAGGACAGCGGCCCTTGAGGACTGGAGTTTGACACCCCTGTCATTGTGAATGACAACCTGAGACCAACAGGTTAACGACAGCAAGCACGGTTAGTGAAGCTAATATGTTAATCAACTAATTTCTGAAGGATGCATAGTGTCACTTGTTAATTTGAGTACACGTACATTGGGTTGTAGATCTGATCATTTTACTATTTTTAAAATAAGTTAATGATCATAATATAATATCTCCCATCAAAATTATGTGGAATGACTGCAGTTTCTGGCCATTCTTTTACAAAACAAGCATGTTTACCAAAAAAACAAACAAAAAACCCCCAAAGAAATAGTACATGTGGTTTTTGCTGCTACATTGTTTAGAATAACGTGCACTGTATAATGTACAATAGCTTTACTTTTTTGTGAAGACGTTTAAATAAAACTGTGCCATGAAGAAGATTCCAGATCTTTGTGGAGAAAATGAACAGAAGTTAATTATTGTTGACTGTCCTCAGCAGACATGTATAATTAAAATGTATTGTTAAAAATTTTGTGGTGAAAATAAACTGACTGGCAAACTAGATCATTTATTACCATAATCCAATATTGATACTTCTTGCTGACATTAGCTAATGAGTCACTAGTTAAAACTGACTTTATTACTTAATCAGTGATGTATGCCGATGCAATAAAACTACAGCACCATTAAATGAGCCATGATACCTTCTAAAATGCTTACAGGTATTTTTCTTTGCTATATTTTTGTCTCCAGAGCTATAACCTG